AGATAGTCTATTTTCAGTAAATTTACCCTGATTTCATAGGGCTAGCTGAATTTTTTAAAGTATCTTTCCAAAATAATTTCACAGTATGAATTTAATAAACATTGGAAGAAGTGATTCTTCCCTTCAGCACTACCTCAGATCATTTAGCAGAAATATCCTTTCATCTTCACAGGAGCTGGGACAGGGAGGCAGAGGAGGGCACCTAGGCCTTTATGGTCGGCACGGTAGTCACTGCTGCCCTAACTTCCCAAGGTGATCACTTAGGGTGACGACTGAGAGCTTTGCTGTGCTGAATGTTCCCAGATTTGTTGCAGGTATTGTCTGCTGTTCAGGAGCTGCAGCCATTTGTACTTTTTCAGAGTGAGAGGAACTTGGATTTACTGATGGGAAAGGACTTGCTCCAGGCCAGAGAGCAAATGTTACCTTTGCCTAAGTTGCCACTGTCCCCATCTGTCTGTTTTTACTCACTAACTCTATGCCTGCCCCCTGCTGCAGGTGCAATGACTCCCATGGCTGGAATTTGGCCAGGAAGCTGTGGTTAACACTCCCACCCCATTTTTTATGCAAACTTGATTTATGACTTTGATCTTATTTTATATAATTTAAAAATTAAATAATTTATGCAGTATCTGTCACATTCCAAGGCTCCTTCCTTTGTTCTTGCTTGTCTCTTCTACATTTTCACACCTTCCCAACCCTTTTCTATCTGTGCACATTTCCTTTTCTGCATGGTGGGGCAGCAGTGACATGAGACAGCCACTAACTACTTTCCACTTCCTTCGTAGAAAGAAGACCTGCAAGAACTTTTGCCACTGTTGTTTATCTGGGCCAGGACTATACTGCCACCATTCACAGCCTGGTTTGTTTTTTACTGCTCACAATTTAGGGCTTGGACACCCCACTCCTACCAAAGTGTAAGAAGGTGTGCTGTGCTGCTCTAAGCCGGAGTGTGTGCCTGCAGGTTTGCTCTCAACTGGCAGCAAATCAAAGGTGGTGCTACCTAGCATCAGCCTCCTCCTCTCCAGGCTGAGGTCAGACCTGTACCTCAAGCTGGCGTTGACTAAGGCTGTGGAAACAGCTACTGATACCCAGTTGATGTGGATCCACAGTAACCTGACAACAAGAAGGGCTGGTGTTTGAACTAAAATAAATAATTGCCCCATAAAAGGGGAACCTAAATGAACATAGGAAGATACTGATGGAAATAAAAAACCAAAACCAATCAAAAAACCCAGAAGTAAATTAGTATAGGGGCTCTGGGAGCTTTAGGGAGCCATGAAACCTGACTTGCTTTGAGCTGCATACAGGAAGGGGAGGTAGGTCTGGTGTGATTTTCTTTGTCACTGCAGCAGCACACAGAATTAGTGCCAAGCTTTGTCTGGTCTGCTTGCAGGTGGCTCATGAGGAGAGGAGGCAAAAAACATGCACAGAGGAGAACCTCTTTTGCTTCCTGACTTTTTTGCCTCTGGATCTGAGGCCACATGGCTGCTGGACCCAAGGACTAGCTGCTTAGCTGATGTGAGGCTGTGGCTGCAATGAAGGTTAAAGTTGCTTAAGCTCAGGCTGAGCAGCTTGGCAGCAAGAAGCATCAAGGAGTGAACTGTGACATGGCCATTTGCTGAGCTAAAAAGTAGGTAACTTAAAGAGGGGTTAGTGGCAATACTAAGGATTATTGGTCAAACACTGATGGACTGAGACTGTCACTGTCTCTCCTCAGTGGTGCTGCTTGGTTTTCAAACCCATGGCTGCCCACTAATCTCTCAAACAATTGCAGCAGGTGGGTTTCTGCTGCACTGGACACCTTTTTGCAGGAGCTAATACAGTCCCGGTGATGTGCGTGATGCCTTTCTGTGGGAGATTCAGCAAGCAACTGCTGCCGAGGGGACTTGGCAGCTTCCTCCATGGCGATGGACCATCAGGAACTATTGATTAAACAGCTCTCACAGGGCTGCTTGAGAACTCTTACATGGAGACATCAGTCGAGCTTGGATTGCAGGGGGACAGCTGGGAGGACAGGTTACAAATATAAATCAGAGGGCCTAGTGTCTCATGCTTATCCTAACCTTACTGCTAAGCACTGAGGCAGTTCTTAAACTTTTGTTACTGTCGTATCCCTGTGTGAAAATCCACGAAGAGACAGCACAAGAGAGAGCTGTGTCCCTGAGGGAGAAGGGAAAATAAATAAATCTGATCATCGGCTTTATTTGTACTTGGGGAAATGAGACCAGGGGGTCAAATGATTCACCCAAGGTCGCACAAGTTGCTGGTGGCAGTGGCTTCAGCTGTCATCACTGTCTTGCTCTTGCATTTTCACTGTTTCACCTTCTCTCCTCTTGACTTGCTTTAGCTCTTCGACTTCAGTTTGGGATTAATAAAACTGCTCCCCCTTTCCTTCTCCCCCTAGCCATCCCTCCATCTCCCACTGGCATTTATGAGGTGCCAATCAGCCCGATATCTAAGACCCAGCAGTCCGAGGTGGATTAATCAGGACCGAGGGAACGTCACAGAGCCTCAGTGCTCCCTTCCTTCCCTTTTGTGTGAGACTGTGAGATGAAGCAGATAAGGAGAGACACAGATAGGGAAGCTGATTGAGAGACAGCATCTGAGCACACTCTTGGGTGTACAGGCGCCACACGGAAATGTGATCCCATCATTTAGACAGCTCTGAAGTCCCTTGGGTAATTGGTGTCACCAGCTTGTCATATCCAATGGGTCAAGATCTAAAACTTATTCTTTCCCCCTTATCAGCATATTTACCAGGAAAAAAAAAAAAAAAAGGAGCATTGTCCTATTCTGCTTTCACAGAAATAAATAGGAAAATTATTCATTGATTTCAAGTGGAGCAGGAGCAGACCAAGGAATTCTTTTTACTCTTCCTTCAGCTATAAATCCTCACTCAACCACCTACCTTCATAATGTCCTGTATTATCTGGTGAGAAATAGATGGAGGGAATTTTTGTGGTGTAAAAGTGCAGACTGCATCCTTTTATATCAATATAAACCTAGGCTGGCAATTAGAAGAATAGCTCTAGATTAAAAATTATGCAAGAAGAGTTTTTGGTCCAGAGCATCATGACAGTGGTGTCTTTAACACCTCTCCATTTGCCTGATCAATCCCTGTAGCATAACTCTGGAACCACATCTCCTACCTGGCAACCTCTGCAGATGTGTGTCCTGAGCTGCCCATGGGTTGTCTCCTGTTAATTCCTCTGGTGCATGGGAACACAGATGCTGCATCCCCCTGCCAGGCTGCTGGACACTGTTCTGGGCTCAGATGTGGTTTGCTGTCTCTTTTCCCCTTTCTTCAGCCTTCCCTGGCCAGGGGGACAGTTAAATACAGCCAGGCTGGTGAGGTGACAGCTCTTCTATTGTGTGAGGAGGAGAGCAGGGGACAAAGGACGAGACAAACATTGTCTTTGGGAATAAAATGAAGAAGGCAAAATGGAAGGAAATATTAAATTTGTCCAGTGGGGAGAGGATAAAAAAGTCCAGAATAACACCAGGGGTTGCATCTGGGAAGAGAAGGGGAACTTCTTCTGTGGAGCTCTACAGCACATCGTCATGACTTTACACAAGGGGTAGGCTGGGTTTTACCAAGTGTTTAGTGACATGCATGACACTCAGTGGAGGAGAGAAATTTCTAGGCCCTCAAGTTAAAAAAAGAACATGTGGATGTGATGGGAAGTCCATGGTGTTAATGCATGAGAAGGAAATAGGCAGGGAATAAAGAAGAGCCTTGCTGTCAAGGTACTGGGGGGAGTACGGGTACACTGGAGTGTACCTGTTCCCCTGTTACCTAAGGCAAGTCATTGGGTCTCATTTAGAAGATGTTACACTGGAAAATGGGAGTAACGGTACTTCCCTCCTGCATACAAACCCAGCACAGGGTACGAGAGGTCCACATTTTACCACATGGTGGATGAAGTACCTAGATGCACTGTCACTGGCTGCAAACATTCCTGTTGAATCTGCTCCAGAGAAGGCAGCCAAAGTCGCCTGCCATTATTGTGTCTGCCTACTGCAGGAATCACCTCTACCTTCCTCTGAAACATCTGATGGAGAGACCAAGTTACCTGAACCTGATCTTGTCTTGCACGTCCTTGTTATTTGTAGCCTAAAGAAAGGCAGTTATGCCAGAGGCATCCATTTCAGGGCTTCATCAGAACCCCAGCTCCTTGTACAGTTACATTTTCTCAGGGGCCCAGGGTTTGAGTTAGCTGTGTAAGTAGGATACCTGAAGTTAGACAGTGCAACAGTGCTTTAAACAGCTAACGCGTTTTCCCATTGTGCTTAAATCATACTGCTTTGGGCAGCCAGGACTGTATGCATGTATATGCATGCTTGTCCATTTTAGTATTATCTAGCCTGCTTTCACCAGTCTGAAAGTAGTTCTGTCAATATCTGCTATTCTATCCAGTGCCCACTCCTAAGACACCCGTGATGACATATGGGGCAGCAGGGGTCTGGACAAATGGAGAAGAGAGCCATGTGCCGTGTTCAGCTCGATATGCATGATCTGGTAGCACAGGAAGGCCAGGAAGATATTTGTGCCCTCAGAAACCTTCCCTGGCACCAGCTGATGCTGACACGGGACGGAGAACTAGGATGATAACCTGATTTAGTGGAGGGTGTCCCTGCCCATGGCAGGGTGGTTGGAACTCGATGATCTTTAAAGTCTTTTCCAACTCTAGCCATTCTATGATTCTATGATCTGAATTCAGACATATTTTATCCAAATCCTCAAAGGCTAGTTATGTTTGGATTTGATAGGAACTGCTTAGATCCTATAGGGAGTGTCTTGCCTGGGTGTGTGCATGATCACGGTTTGGTTACTGCAAGAAGCAGGTTTTACACCTCTGTATAATCATGTAACCGGTTTAATGGAGAAATCACTGATTCCACCTCCGCTTGGTTGTTGCTCTGCTCACATGTGCTTTTGTGCAGTTCTAGGCACTGTCCCTGTTCCCATGATCATGCACAGAGACAGCATTTATACTTACTGCCTGTGCATAGGCGCCATACGCTCCAAACTGGATGGCCATGGGGTTGAACATGCCCATTTGTCCTGCCATTTGCTGCATGCGTCTCATTGTACGCTCCTTGTCTGTATCTGCAAACTTCACCACCAGGCTTGAAGAGGCTCCCTGCAGGACAGAAAACAAGGAGACACATGAGGGAATTAGCCCGATATACATTGGCTCGTACAGTCCATATATCTAACACAGATTTAGTAGCATGAGATCCAGCTAGACCTTTGCAAGAGGCTGAGAGCATCAGGAAGTAAAGAACTCAGGAGGGCAAAAGGCTGAGGCCAGCAGCCTGGTTCCTAGTTTCCTCCAAAATTCAAACTTCCAGGCTGTCATTAATATTCTCTCTGAAAAAGTTGTTGCCTTATTCTCTCGACCCATATAAAAACTTCTGTCTCATTAGCTTTCATCAGAGGACAAAGATCTGGACTCAATGCAGCAAAACATAGAAGCTTTTGATGTATCAGTGTGGTGGGATTTGTGAGCTGATTTATTTTGATGGAATGTGTTTGCTCTGTGCACGCCAGGACCCCTGAGCTGGATCACCCTCTCACAGTGCCTTGTCTTGTAACCCCCACATCCAGTGAAAGATCCGTGCTCAGACTTGGAGACAGGATTCAGTACGCTGAGCAGTGTGTATGTTTCATTACAAAACAGCATCTCTTCAGCATTGGTAAACTAGGGGAGCAAAAACAGTGCTTGATGGACCTGAGCTTCCCCATCCCTCTGCTCCCCAAAATGAGATGAAGGGTCAGTAGCTGCGACTCTTAAATTTCTGATAGGAGGCAGAGACGGGAAGAGACAGATCTGCTTAGGAATGAAGGCACTGACAGGTTTTTGTCCGGCTTCAAGGACATCCTAACTTCATGGGCTGGTTGATTCCCCACAGCATGGTATCCCCTCGGGAAGAGGGGTGCAGGGGAGCGGGGATCTGGCAGCAGCCCCAACAGCGGGCAGATAGTTGCCTCTGGAGCTGGGCTGCCACCAAGCCTGGGGAGATGGGCAGGTGAGCTGTCAGGAGACTGAAAAAGAGTGGCTGTAATCATCGCGCTCCCATGGTATGCTTCCCTTTTGACACACTGGTATTTGCTGATGGAAATACAGTGGGGAAATTGTCAGCTCAGCCTCTGGCTGGGGAAGTAGAGAAAGACCAGCTCCATGCCAGAGGATCTGGGCTGTTGTGGGGCCCTTGTTTTTCTAGCAAGAGGTAGGTTTGCCTGGGATTGTTCAGGGGGACTTTTATTAACTGGTTTATGCACACCCCTATGTAATTGTAACCAGAAAAAAAGTCTTGGTGAAAGCAGAGTTACTCTGCTACAAATTGGGAATAGCGTAGTAAACCACAACTATGGACATACATATATATAAATCCAAGCTATGCATATTCAATACCCTCTCCAGATCCTCAGTTATGAATAAAGACTTGGGGAATTAACTTGCTAAAAAAAAAAGCAAACAACAATCTAAGGCCACACAATCAGCGATATTCCCCTGGATTAGCAAGATGTTCTGGGGGGAAGTGATTTTCATTGGCAAAGAATCTTTCTTTTTGACCTGTTAGTCTCTAATAAATCTATAACCCACTCAAACAATGTGGTGGAGAGCAGGGTGTTGAAAGAAGTGCTCTCTCCCTCAAACAAAGGGATGGAGAGATGAATATTCTATTCAAGGGTGAAGAGCAGTCTTCAGAAGTTATTATAAGAGCAAAACAGAAAGTGGAGGGGAGAAAAAAAAATCTAGCCAAATTTCCCTGCATTTCTGCTCAAGGCTGGGTGACTTTTCATTTTTTTAAATCACATGATGTAGTTATTGATCCTTCCCTAAATCACACTCTTAATTGCAGCTCATCGACAAATGAATATTTTAATGCATACATTTCCTGCTAATTATCACCTGGACTAGTCCTTAATTAGATTTCAACACTCATTTAATTAACCCTGATCCAAGAGACTGTTTGGTAACCTGAATCAAATTATTTAAACCTATTTGCAACTGTATTGGAGGGAAGCACTTGTCCACAGCAGATTGGGCTGTTCAGAGCTGCTGTTGTGATTTGCAGAGCAGAGGTTGCAGCATGGTGGGCACAATGCAGCATGGAGGATCTTGAAACTGAATGAAGTGAATGAGTACTCATCTCTGCAAGTGGGTTTTGAGAATGTGACTTGCTTTAGTTGGCAGGACAGAGAAGTGTAAATAAGTTGGTGTCTTCTTTTCTTTCTATGTCTATTTTCCCTGGAAGTCTTAAGGCCAGAAAACTGCCTCAGGAAATTTCTGATGCTTCACACTGTTGAGAACCAAGCTATTGTTGTAGATGTCATCATGAAAACATGGGTAACCTCCACATAAAGTTTTTGCCCCTGGAGTGTTCTCCCTGCCTGATGTGAATTGTAGTGACTGCACAGCAGCCGTTTGACCCAATGGGATCTAAGACTACCTCTTATGAGATGTTTTTCTGGGTTGCCTGTCCGAGCAGGATTTCAGGTCTCTTTGAGCATCACTATCATATACACAAGGCAGAAAGGCCCATGGGAAACAGAAGGAAGTTAAAGCACACACTAAAGAGGAGAAAAATGAATTTTTTTTTTTGGGAGTGCTCTGTAATGAGATGTGCCTGTAGGCAGTTAAAGATACATAGCCAGTAGAGGTGCTGCATTGCTCTTGAATATGAAGACTGATCTTGGGGTTGATGCTTTCTGTATGTGGTTCCTCATATGTGGCCCTTTCATGTGGCCCAAAGGAAATCAGGCATTAAACTCTGCCACATCCCTCAGTGCAAGATTTTTAGCAGAGGAGACAAAAAGTGTCATTCATCTGCAGGAGCACAAGACTGCTTTGTATTCCAGTGATTCCTACTAATCTGAAAGGTGCTCAAGTCCATGGGAACTGATGACATGCATCAATGGGTCGTGAGGGAGCTGTTGGATGAAGTTGTTAAGCCACTATCCATCATATCTGAGAAGTCACGGCAGCCTGGTGAAGTTCACACTGGTTGGAAAAGGGGAAACATAACCACCATTTTTGAAAAGGGGAAAAAGGAAGACCTAGGGAACTACAGGCTAGTCACCCTCATCTCCTTGCCAGGCAAGATCATGGAGAAAATCCTCCTGGAAACTATGCTAAGGCACATGGAAAGTAAAGAAGTGAATGGTGACAGCCAACACAGCTTCACTAAGGGCAAATCATGCCTGACAAATTTGGTGGCCTTCTACATCAAGGTTTTAGTGTTGGTGGATAAGGGAAGAGCAACTGACATCATCTACCTGGACCTGTACAAAGCCTTTGACACTGTCCTGCATGACATTCTGGTCTCTAAATTGGAGAGACTCAGTGCATAAGGAACTGGCCGGATGGTTGCACTCAAAGAGTTGTGGTCAATGGCTCAATGTCCAAGTGGAGACTGGTGACAAGTGGTGTTCCGCAGGGGTCGGTACTGGGACCAGTGTTGTTTAACGTCTTTGTTGGTGACATGGACAGTGGGATTTAGTGCACCCTCAGCAAGTTTGCCGATGACACCAAGCTGTGTGGTGTGGTGGTCACGCTGGAGGGAAGGGATGCCATCCAGAGGAACCTTGACAGGCTTGAGAGGTGGGTTTGTGCAAACCTCATGAAGTTCAGCAAGGCCAACTGAAAGGTCCTGCACGTGGGTCGAGGCAATCCCAAGCCCAAATACAGGCTAGAGAGAAGAGTGGCTTGAGAGCAACCCTGAGGAGAAGGACTTGGGAGTGCTGTTTGACGAGCAGCTTTTATGTGACTCTGCAATGTGTGCTTGCAGCCCAGAAAGCCAACTGTGTCCTGAGCTGTATCACAAGAAGCGTGACCAGCAGGTTGAGTGAGGTGATTCTGCTCCTCTACTCTGCTTTCATGAGACCCTACCTGGAGTACTGCGTCCAGCTCTAGAGTCCTCAGCACAGGAAGACATGGACCTATTGGAGAAGGTTCAGAGGAGAGCTACAAAGATGGTCAGAGGGCTGGAGCAACTCCCATAGGAGGACAGGCTGAGAGAGTTGGGCTTGTTTAGCCTAGATAAGAGAAGGCTCCAGGAAGACGCTATAGCAGTCTTCCAGTACTAAAGGGGGCCTACAGGAGAGATGAGGAGACACTCTTGATCAGGGAGTGTAGTGATAGGAAAAAGGGTAATGACTTTAAGATGAAAGAGGGTAGATTTAGGTTAGGTATGAGGAAGGAATGTTTTACTGTGAGGGTGGTGAGACAGCGGAACAGGTTGCCCAGGGAAGCTGTGGATGCCCCATCCCTGGAGGTGTTCAAGGCCAGGCTGGATGAGGCTTTGAGCAACCTGATCTATTGGAAGGTGTCCCTGTCCATGGCAGGGGTGTCGAAACTTGGTGATCTTTAAGGTCCTTTCCAACCCGCAACAGTCCATGATTCTATGTTTTCCTATTAATCCACTGGATAACATCAGAAATGTCTCAGAATAAACCAGAATTTCCATGGGGTAAAAAGTGCAGAGCCATTCATCTGGACTATTTATTGCTTCCACAAGCAGTTAAACAGTGGTGTAAATTAGCTGTTGTCTGCTGACGAAGGCAGCAGGTCCTGTCTGGTGGTCATTTATTAGTAATACATAATCTCCCTCTTGCTCTCTCTGGCTCTTGCACTGGATGTTGTATTTCCCCAACCCCCAAGACAGTTACAGTAAGTAAGTTGATAATGTCTGAAATGCACTTTGAGATCTGTGTTCTAATTCTGCATTTTACTGAGTGAAGGACCTGTTTGCTTCTTTGTCTTGCAGCTCCACAGACAAAAGAGACCATCACTAAAGTGAGCATTCCCGTTGGCACTGCTGCAATAGGCTACTTGGAGTTGACGTTTATCTCCTTTTTCAAGTGTTTTAATATGTACTGATGAAAAGAATAATATAAGGGCTAAGTAGTATTATGCTTTCCTTATTCTCTTTTGGCCCAGTAAGTCTACTTAATATGACTATCTTGCTTCCCATCACCCTCCCATGTGCAGTAATGAATTACTCCCCCTAGTCAGCAGTCAGATGCTCTCCAGGCTGGTGGGGCGAGGGAAAAGATCGAGGAAAAATCACCCTGTGCCACAGTCACTTTGTAATCCTTAATCAGAGTCCTCTGTGGGAAAAACTAATTTCCCAG